GGCCAGCTCAGCCCACCAGGGGGCGGGCTGGCTGGCATGTGGTGCTGGGGGATCGAACTGCGGTCCCTGATGCTTTTGCTAAGCTTGTTCCAAGTAGGCGCTCCAGACCACTGAGCCATCTCTCCAGCCCAAATAATTACTTTCTTTCAGCACGTTAAAAACACTGTTCCACCTCTTTGTAGCCTCTCGTTTCTGAAGAGAGATCCCCAGTCATCCACCTCATCTTGCTGCTCTAAGGAATGTGCTGTTTGTTCTGACGGCTCTCCAGACTTCCTTTTGTCTTTGGGTTTCATGCCTGGACTGCCGTGTGCTGGGGCCTGCGCTTCTGGTCCTGTCTGGGGTCTCTGAGCTTCTTGACTCTGTAGCTTTTCCTGAGATCACAGGCTTTCAGCCAGATTTTGCCCATCTCTCTGCACACAGCTGTTTCTCCTCCCGAAGCCCACAGTGAGCACGTTGGCCTGGGGTCCATTGCCTGGCACGTGGATGCACCACTCTGTCCCCAGGCTCCTGGTGTCCTTTCTCTGCAATGGCCACTCTGCTGGGGAGCCTACTGCGCCATGTTCTTACTCTGCTACTGCATTTCTCAGCTTTAAAATTTCCACTTGGTTCTGCTTGTGTCTTTCATTTCTTTTCTGAGGCCTCCGAATTGTCTCACTTATTTCCAATGTTTGCCCTTCTCTTTGGAGCATTTTTATAACATGTTCTTGAAAGCCTTGGACAGATGCCCAACAGCCGTGCCACCTCTGCCCCGGCGCGTGTCTCCCTGGGAGCAGATGCTACCTGGTTCTCCTCGTGGCTCCTGGATGTTGGGAGATGGAGGAGACCCCGTCTTGCTCACCTCAGAGGATGTGTGTTTCCTTTGGCTTGGGCCCTGTGTCCCTCTGGGTGGCTTCCTCCAGGGCATCTTTGCAAAGCTCACACCTGCGCACGTGTGTTGCCGTAGCAGCAGAACCAATAAGAGACAGCAGTGGAAAAACCAGCCAGGCTTAAATAAAGAGTGTAGATTAGTTGTGAAAAACAAACCCAGACCTCTCCTGAACAGGCAGGTAGTGGGGCAGCAAGACAGGGCAAACTGAGGCACTGTGGGGCAGCAAAGCGTGAGGAAGCCAAGTTGCATGCTTTGCAGCCTATTTCAGAGGTCCCTGGACTTTTAAAAAGAGGGCGTGGCTGCTTCCCGAGTTTGTTTCTTCACCTGGCACAGCACTGGCTCCAGCCAGCCAGGACAGAGCAGTGGGAGCCACAGGGCCAGTGGCCTGGGACTCTGAGCCTCCTGTGACACGGGAGCCAGAGTAATGCCATCGCTCCGACGCCTCCGCCTCACTGTGGACCCCCCTTCCTTAGCGGGCCCTCCTCGCGTCTTCAGCCCCACAAGGCCTCTGGGTGCTGCCGCCCCCAGCCCCCACTGCCCAGCAGGACCTGTGGGATGTCTGAGAAGGGCCCGGCAGCCCCATGGCTGGTAATAAGGCACTGCTCTGCACACTGGGGTCATGCCCATTACAGGCCACGTATTCAGACTTCATACCTGTGTCTGATGTCAGGTAGTGCCTGGCCTGCAGGGCAGCTGAAGTGGCCCTAGTGGCCTGGGGCAGTGGCGACCTGGAGAACTGTGTGCCTTCTCTGACCTGCATGTCCTGCTGCCCTCTGCAGGTGACCCCAGGACTCGAGGAAAAGGAAGGGGAGCTGCTGGTCAGGGGACCCTCAGTATTTCGAGAGTACTGGGATAATCCAGAAGAAACAAAGAGTGCCTTCACCTCCGATGGCTGGTTCAGGACAGGTAGGACCCTGGCAAGGTGGGGGGCGGCAGGGCCAGCAGGATGAGGGGGCCCAGGAGGAAGAGCCAGGTTGGGGCACCCTGGGGCTCCTGGGCAGCACTGGCCCCTGCCGTGGACGTGGCTGCCATGCTGTCCCTCAGCCCCGTGTGTGTCCACACCAGAGGTGCCGTCCCAGGCCCCTCTCCTGAGGCCTCCTGCCTTGGGGTCAGGAAACCCATTCCAGTACAGCTGCACACTGCTTGGGACGCTGGCCTCTCCGTGCTTCCCACGTTTGCTGGGGTCCCTCCTGGCTCCCCTTCATCTGTGTGGTTTATTCTGGTGTGGCTGATGGCATCACTCAGGAGTTCATTGCCTGCTTCCTGCTGGCCAGCAGCGGTGAATGCGGCCCCTCAGCAGTGGCTGTCGGAGTAGGGTCCCACGGAGCGAGCTTTGCAGAGCCTCGGCCTGTGCCTCCCTGTGGCTTCCAGCTCGCTGGGGTCTTGGAGAAAAACACGGTTTGCAATTGTACGTAGTCACGACCATATTTCTTTCCAGAAGGATGTTGTTAGAACATGTTGGGAGGGTGGGATCCTGGGTAGTCATTTTCTTTTTGCCTGTCTGTATTTCTAAAATTTTTGGGTGAGTGTGCTTTGTACTTAGCTCTGTCTGTAGCCCTCCTTTTTTAAAATTTTAACACAGGGTCTCTCTAAGTCGCTAAATTGCTCACTGGGCTTGAACCTGAGATCCTCCCACCTCGGCCTCCAAGAGCACTAGTCTGACAAGTGTGTATTATCACATCTGGCTTCATTTCATTTTATTCGGGGTGCTGGAACTTGAACTCAGGGCCCCACACTTGCTAGGCAGGCACTGTGCCGTTGAGCTCTACCCCAGCCCCCGGCTTTGTTTCCTAATTTTTTTTTAATGTATTCAGTACAGGGACTACAGGGTCTCACTACAGACTCATAGTGATCCTCTGTTCTCAGCCTCCCAAGCGCTGGGGATTACAGTATGCGCCACCACTCCAAGTCTCAATTGCAGTCTCAGCAGGACCGAGGGGCAGGGCCAGCGCGGCACACCAGGGATCAAACCCCAGTCCCTGTGTCTGCCTAAGCGGGCATTTTAATCTGCTGAGCTATCTGGCTGGCCTGTTTCCTAATTTTGAAGATGAAATTTTCTGGGGAAAAGAGCCTCTTTCTTGTGTTACTCTGGCTCATAGTGACACGCAGCGGGGGGAGCAGAGCTTGCAGGCGCAGCAGCTGAGGGGGCTTTGTAGGTGGTTTCCTGGTGGGTGTAGCAGTGGTCCAGGGCCTCTCTGTTGGGCTAGAAGAGCAGGGTCACCTGTCCAGCCCCTTCGGGAGCCAGGTCGCCAGTGGAGAGGGCAGTTCAAAGCAGACACCAGGCCCTCGCCACTGAGGAGTCGGCCCAGTGCACCCCACCTGCCCCACTTCAGCACAGCAGCCCTGGGTGTGCTGTGGCTGCAGCCCTCACCAGCCGCAGCTGTGGGCAGAAGGGCCAGGCCCATGGTGGAGTGCAGTCTACAGAGAAGCACAGACGTGGCCGAGTGGGCCTGGAGTGCCGGCTGGCAGGTGGGTCACGGGACGGATGTCCTTGGTGTCCTTATTGCCCCCAAATGCAACCCAGCCCCAGGCTCCACGGGATGCCACCTTCCCGGAATGAGATGCAGAGTAGAGGTGGGGACCAAAGGGCTCAGGGGCTATGGCTGGATCCCCACTCTGTGACAGGATGTGGTCAGATGCTGACTGGGTGAGCTGCCAGGTGGGAGGGACACCGTTGCCTTCCAGCACCACGAATTTAGAAACATACTATTGCCTTGGGCAGCCTCACTGCAAGCAGTCCCCTGACAGTGCCGGGGCTGCCGCTGCGTGGCCACATTCTTTGTTTTACAACTGGATAAAACAATGCTGGTCCTTCCTTGAACTGCTCAGAGCTAGCCATGGGCTGCTGAGGTGGGGCTCGGAGCTGGGGGCAGCGGGCCGTGGGCTGTTTCTGCTGAAGAGGAGAAGCATGCATTAATTATCGCAAGGAGACATCCCTGGGAGAAAATGATTTTGAAATTCAGTTTAATTCTATTGTAATGTGCTGGAAGCAGGAAGGGAGTGTGTGTGATTGGCTCTCGGCCGGCCGGCCGGGCCTGGGAGCCGCCAGCCTTTGTCACAGGCCATTAGCAGTACAGGCTGCATAATGAGGGCTGCAATCAGCTGCAGCTGCTGCTCCTACCAGGAGAGCGTGAGATTAAGTGGAAATCAGGGCAAGTTAAACTTAACCCTCTCCCTGCCACACCTCCTGCCACAGGAGTCCTGGCGTCAGGCCGGCTGGTACCTGCTCCTCAGCAGCTGGCCTCTAGGGACAGAGAGGGAGCGTGGCCACCTGCAGCTGTCCACGTGTTCACGCTGTCCCTGCTCCTCACAAGGCCCTGGTGGCCCATGGAGGAGTCAGAGGTCCCTCCTCTAGTCAGCCACCCAGGCAAGCAGGCAGCTGACTCTGGCATCCAGGCCACGTGAGTGGGTGACTCCAGGGCCTTGGGTCCAAGCGGGCAGATGGCCCAGGACCTCTGGGTCCAGGACCTCTGGGTCCAGGACCTCTGGGTCCAGGTGGACAGGTGACCTGAGGACAATGGTGGTGAATCTATGGCTCATCTGTTTTTCTTTTAAAATAAAAGATGTTAATGTAGAGTTGCTTTTTGTAGACTTCAGTATTCAGGTTTAAGGCAGTGTTGGTGCTTTGTGATAAATAAGTGGGTTTGAGGTTGCAATTTGGCACTTGTTCTCTAAAAGTTTCACTGTCGCTGCCTTAGGACCTCAGCCCCAGACTGGCAGTGCCCCTGGGAGCCAGGCCCTGGGGTCCTTAGCTGAGCCTCCACCTGGCTGCAGCCATGTGCCCACAGTGGCCTGTCAGCAGGCAGTCGAGCCACCAGGGCTTGGGGAGGACCATTCATCAGTGCCCTGTGGCAGGCCTGGTGGCACCCTCGGAACTACGAACCCCCTTCTTCTGTGCGGCCGACATCCGCCAGTCACGCCTCCAGCCTGTGGGAAGCCAGCAGTGTGCATCCTTAGAGAACCGGCCCAGGCCAGAGGACAACAGCCAGTGAGGAGCAGGGGTGCAGGGGGGAGGGGGGGCAGACAGGGAACGAGGACCAGTCCTTCCCAGGACAATGGGTCTTGCTTCACACGCAGCTGGTGACCCTCCTGTCACTGCACTGCCAAGGGACCGTGTGCAGGGACTGCACTCTGGTGCCTGCCACCGCATGTACCCCTCGCCAAGCAGCCCCTGTTAGCAGGGGCTCTCCTGCTCCCAGCAGTCTCGGCCGTCACCTGAAGCAGCTTTGCCAAGGGGCATGGCAGCTGTCAGAGGATGCGGCCTGGACCTCCGCCCGCACTGCTGCCCATGGCCTGGGACGCACAGTCTGGGCGCTCAGGGCAGAGTTATGCCGCAGTCACCCACGGTCGGCACCCAGCGAGCCTGGGCTGGGGCAGTGACCCGCACGCTCACTCCTACCCTGAGAACATCACAGACCTGGGCCAGATGAGCTGTGAGCATACTCCCCCTCCACAGGGCACTGTGGGGACCTAGTTGCACCCGTGTTGGCTAGCATGGGGGACAGGGCACCCCCGCTGGGCACGAGCCCTGCCTCTGCTCTGTCCACAGCAGCATGTTCTCTGCCAAGGCCATGCGAGCGGGCTAGGGCCTGCACCGAGCGCTGTGTGGTCTCAGCTGCTGTGGCCAGGCCCTTGTGCTGTGTTCAGCAGCCATCCCCAGGGATGGAGGCTACTGAGTTTTGGATCGATAGCGCACCCTAAGTCACGGGTTTCTTTTATGGTCCAGTGGTCTTCTCTCAGCTCTCTGGAGCCAGCCACGGTGCAGACACACGTATGAAGGCCAGCATGGGCCTTGGCCCTGAGCCCACCTCCTGGAGCGGCACTGCCCAGCGCAGAGCCCAATGCCAGTGCCAGATCAGCGCATGACTTGTCCCTGGCTTGATGGGCAGCCCTAAAGCCACCAGGCTGAGGCAGAGAGCTCGGGCTTTCAAGTTCGTTTTGTCAAGTTCCCACATCTTGGTGGTGTCTTTGTGGCCTCCATTAGCCAGCAAGTGCCACTGTGGCAGGAAGCTGGAGAGCCCAGTGTTCTCCAGCCAGGGGCCGGACTGCAGCCCGCCCTGGCCCTCTGTCATGGCTCTACTGTGGGACAGCCCTGCTGCACTCAATGGACCCTGTCCCTGCCCAGCCCAGGCAGCCTCTGCCCTGGAGACCAGGGGCCAGCTGCCCCCTGCTGTTCTCATCCTCCCGTCCTGAGGGTGACGACACTCTTGGCTGCGTGGGACCGGGCTCCACAGGCCCTGGAGCCCCATTCACCTGCCCTGAGCCCCATCTGGCTGTGTGTCCAGAGCCTTTGGTGTAAAGCCTGCCTGTGACAGCGTCCCCGGCTTGGGTGGGGATCCCCTAGCCTCTGTGATACTTCTGTCTATGTGCTACTTTCCACCACTGCCCCAGGCCCCCTGTGACACCACTGATCTCTAGGAGAGCCAGGTTATGTGTGGTCAGCTGCCGGCTAGCTTCAGGTGAGGCCTGTTTCGCAGAGCTACACCTGTCTGCCTCCCGCTGTAGCAGTGTCTTCCTCAGCGTGGCCCCTGGGATGGATCCCAGAGCCTCCCTGGCACATGGAGCCAGCTGGTGTCCCCCACACAGGCACCAGTGTTCCTGGAGCATGCAGGCAGTGGCCCTCGCCAAGCCCAGTGGCATGGCCTAGCCCTTCTCCTCGCCCCTCCCTGGAAGCCAGGGGCCAGGAGGCCAGGCAGACGTGACCGGGCGGCCCTCAGAGCAGGTGGTCCTGGGCCCCTGGCAGGAGCTGATCCTGACCCTGTGGGCAGCACGTGGTGTCCCCAGGAGACCCTGGGGGGGCACAGATAACCAACGATTGGAATCTGAGTAACAGATTTATTTCCAGTTACAGTTTAGGGCAGAGACGTGAAGCGGCTCTGCACCCGAAGGCCAGGCAAAAGCCTTTGGAATGGGGTTCTGCCTGTGCTCCACGGTCCCAGTGCAACACGCCCTCACCGAGCACCAGCGAGGGCCAAGTATGTGGCAGGGGCTCTGTGTCCACAGTTCCTGTGGCTTGACCTAGATGTTGCCATAAGAAGCAAGCCGTTTAACTTGTTGAGTGCGTTTCAAGGGGGGACCGCCTCTGGGCCCTGTGCCGGGTGGCCATGTGCCCGCCACGCGCGGATGGCGCCCTAGATGCACGCTGGGCACTGGCTCCTCCCTTCCCTGTGCTGATCTCTGTTGAGGCCCCATGAACCTCAGCTCAGTGTCCCTGGCCCTCGGTGGCAGGACTGGGTCCTAGGAGGACAAGCCACCATCCCTTCTCTCTGGAGAATCTCTGCAGTGGGATCCTGGCATCCTCCGCACCGAGCCCACAGGATAGGAATGGACAGGAAGCTGCTGGGCCTCGAGGGGCAGATGGGGTGCCACCTGAGGTCACAAAGGAGGCACAGGGCCCCTGGGAAGGCACTGAGCGAGTTCCCTGCCTGTACCTCAGCCCACACCCCCTCACCTTGGCTCAGTGCTATCTGGCCTGAGCCCTTGAGCACTTTGGGGCATGGGGTTTTTTGTGGGGGGGGTAGGGAGGTTATTTTTCACTCCTAGAGGTTAAACTCACAGCCTTCACACTGAACTACATCGTCAGCCCCACATTTTCCCCCTTAATTTTGAGACATGTTCTCCAAAGTCATGAAGTTGCCCAGGTTGGGCTCAAACTTGAGATTCTCCCGCCTCAGCTTCCCAGAGTTCCAGGGTGATAGACATGCATCTCGAGCTGGGCTGCGAACCTGATCCTTCACTCATTCCTCCCAGGGAGGCTGCTGGGCAGCACCCTCTGCCCACAGGGATGCCTGTTGCCCGTGTGTGCCCCTGCTGCTCACAGAGCTCCCTCCTCCAACAGGAAGTGGTCTCAAGCGCGGCTGTGCAAATGGCCTTGCCTGGGCCTCCATCGTGGGTGCCAGGGTCGGCACACTCTGCTCCCAGGCTGCCTCTCTGCCCTTCTCTGTACCCGGATCCTCTGGTGGCAACAGCCCCTGGGTCATGCGGTCCGAGGAACCTGAACTCCAAGGTCCTGCTGCCCGGAAGTGAGGCCCTAGCAGTGTGGAGAGAAGTGTTCCCAAGAGCAGGTGAATCCGCCAGGGTGACTCCTCGACCTGGCCCTAAATGGGCAGGACTGCTGTGTACATGAGGGCTGCCACCAACCAGGGCTCCCCCTGAGGACACAGCAGGCTAGCACTCAGGACTCAGCCAGCAAGCCCAGACCAGGGCAGCACAGTGGTCCACAGAGCTGGCCCCTGGTGTGGTACAAGCACTGCCTCTTCCAGGCGAGGACAGGAGAGGCTGGGGGCCTGGGGCTGTGAGAGTCCCTGGGGGCGGGCTGCTGCCCAGCCATGACAGTCCCCCGAGTGCAGGGCAGGCTGCATCCAGCCACTGCTGGCCCTCGTCCGTCGGCAACCCCAAGCCCTGTCATTGCGTCTAATGGGCAGGCAAGTGCCCCAGCCACAGGTCGCGAGGAGCAGGGCGATGGATGGCACCATCCCATGTCAGGCCGCAGGATAGACGGTGGGATGTTCATGATTTATGCCAACAGTGGCCCGCGAGGTGCAGGAGTATATGACAAAAGGGGTGTCCCCATGCCTGCATGTGGTTGTGATTATGGGGGAGCCCACTGGGGTGCCACCATGCCCGGACCCCACTAGGGAGAGGGGGGCAAAGCCGGGTGGTTGCACGGGGATGGTGAGGTCGGGGGCAGGGGCAGGGGTCCCCCCCATCGCAAAGTGGTCGGCATTGACCACCCAACCCCACCACAGTGGATCTTGCAAGCACGAGCCATTGCACTTACCCAGGGTGAGGCCTGGAAGCTTTGGGGGCCCTGAGGTGTGGCTGGACCTTCTTGGCATGGCCCTCCCGGGCAGCCAGAGCCACAAGACTTGGGGCTGGGCACTGTGTTGGGAAGGCCATGCTGTCCGCTGATGACAGATTCCTAGTTGCCCTGCCAGGAATGGGGCCCCGGGTGCCCGTGCAGAGACTTGCCAGGCGTACCCGGGCTGGACTGTGCCAGCCCCCTCCCTGGTGATGGTGCAGCAGAGACAGACCTGCTGTGGGGTGCGGCATGCCCTACATGGGAGTGGGGACCCGGGACCCTCATGGCACCCCGAGTTCCACGGCCAGTGTTCTGCTGGCCAGGCGGCCCGTACCATTACCAAGCTCACTTTTTCAGGGGACACTGCAGTGTTCAAGGACGGCAGTTACTGGATCCGAGGCCGGACGTCTGTGGACATCATCAAGACCGGAGGGTACAAGGTCAGCGCGCTGGAGGTGGAGCGCCACCTGCTGGCCCACCCTGGCATCGCAGGTGAGAGCGCGGACCCTCTGGACCCAGGCCCCTCCGCCCGCCGGCAGGGCTCCTGGGAGCCACGTGCCCACTCAGGGCTCCCGTGTGGCTTGCCCATCTCAGCAGGACAGGCACCTGTGCGTGTGTGGCCTGCAGGGGTGCCGCGCACGCGCGCACGCACGCACGCACGCACGCACGCACGCACACCCCGCTGACCCCAAGCAGCCCAGCCTGCTCTTCTGTTCCAGATGTGGCTGTGATTGGCGTTCCAGACCTGACGTGGGGCCAGCGGGTCATAGCAGTGGTCGTTGTGAAAGCCGGACACTCACTGTGCTACAGCGATCTCAAGGACTGGGCCAGGTAGGCTGGAAACAGGCACTCCTCCCCAGGTGAGCCTGCAGCCAGGCTTGGGACACAAGCAAAAGAGTATTCCTTGGTTTTAGGAAAAGTCCCCAAACCTTGCTGGGCCTCACCCCTGGGAACGAGCCCCCGGGACCCCCAGTCCAGGCCAGGACCATCACTCAGCCCCTTCCCACGTGCAGGGCTCCTAGGTCCCTGTGCCCCTGTGGACTCTGCCCAGCCTTGTCCCTGTCCTTGCTGGCCTGAGCACTGTCCCCCTCCCCGCCCCAGGGCTTAAGGGTCCATCTTACATCTGTGCCCTAGTGCCTCCACTCTCCCAGGCCATACCACATCCCGGGCAGGCAGAAGGGCCAGCGAGGCTCTCTGACTATCTGCAGCACACCGTAGGAGCCTAGGATGCTTTGGGCTCCACCTGGAGCTGTGTCCCCCCATGGTCTTTAAATCTGTGGCACCTCAGCTTCCCTGCCTCTCTCCCCCTCCTCCTCTAGCTCCTCCACCACCTCTTCCACTTCCTCCTCCCCAACCTCCGCCTCCTTCATCTCCACCTTCACCACCTCCTCCTCCACCTCGTTCACCTCCTCTTCCTCGGCTTCCTCCTCTTTCATCTCCCTTCCACCTCCTCCCCTCCCTCTTCTGTTCTTCCTCCCCCCTTCCTTTTCCGTTTCCTTCATCTCCACCACCTCCGCTTCCTCCTCTCCAACCTCCTCCTCCTTTTCTTCTACCTCCTTCACCGCCTCCTCCTCCTCCGCTTCCTCCTCCCCATCTTCTTCTCTTCCACCTCCTTCCCTCCCCCTTCTTTTTCCTCCATCTCTTCCCCCCATCTCCCTCCCCTTCTCTTCCTCCTCCTTTTCCTCCTGCTCCTCCTCCTCAGCAGAGGTATTTTTGTCCTGGTCCCAAGGCTCCACACAGCAGGAGTCCCTGGCTCATCAGGGCAACACAGCTGGGCAATTACAGATTCCCTGGATCTGCAGAATCCCAGTTGGAGCATAGCAGTCGCAAAGGCAGGAGTCAGTGGGTGGCTGCTGCTATGATTAAACAATTATTTTGTTAAAAAGAAAGAAAAAGCAGGTGTGCCGTGAGGGCTGTCCTGGTGTCTGGGGACTGAGGTCCCTGGGGGCCTCTCCAGGGAGCCAATGCCTGCCCAGCCCCAGAGGCTGGCAGCTTTGCACACCTCTGCCCCAGGCTGGGCTCCTCCTGGCACTCACTGGGCCTGCACTGACTGTCGCAGTTGGTGGTATGGATGAGAAGAACGCAAGGCTGGAGCTGAGTTCAGACTGGACACACACAGGGTCCGGGATGCTGGCCCCATGGGGGCTCCAGATCCCACCTCGCACCCAGATCCCCCCTCGCGCTGGCCAGCCACCCCTGGCCAGACCCCCGGGTCCTGGCTGTGTGTGAGTGTAGTGTGGCTACAGGTGCCTCAGGAGGTGCTGTCTCTACAGGCGCTTCCTGGCCCCCTATGCGGTGCCCTCAGACCTCCTGCTGGTGGAGGAGATCCCGCGGAACCAGATGGGCAAGATCAACAAGAAGGACCTGGTCAGGCAGTTCTACCCTGAGTGACATCCAGTACCAGCGCCTGCTGTGGGCCTTGGCCCACACCCTCCAGAGAGAACCTGGATCAGGCAAACCAGAATCAAGATGGTGTGGGATGAAATCACTGCGTGACACTTCCCCAGGCCTGGGCTTCCACTGCAGCTCACAGTGGCCCCAGCTGCTCATCAAATCCACTGCGGCCAACACCTCCCCTGGCCAGAGCTGCTGGGCTCTCTCCAGGGCAGGTCCCGAGGAGCCTGCAGTGTCCTCAGAGAAGGGCACTGGAATCCACGTGCTGGCCCTGCCGTCTGCTCGCCAAGAACCTCCAAGCCATGAGACTGGGCCCCATGGATGCTGTGCGCAGGGGGCCCTGTGGGGTTGGCCCACACTAGCCAGCCCCTGTACCCAGAGGCTCCCCACAGTTCGGGGCACTCCTACCCTGGGCACAGCCATCACTCTTTGTGTGACTGTGCCCGCTCTGGGCCCCGCGGGGAGCTTGAGGTTCTACATGGCCTGCTGCCGCTCTCTCTGCACAGACCCTGGCCCGCCACCCCTGCCCCTGTGCAGGACCTGCTGGGTCTCATGTCGCCTCCCCGACCCACTCTCGTCGGTGTCGTCTGGCTCCCAACCCTCTGCTCCCCAAAGCCTACACAAGGAGCCCGTGCAGGGCTGCAGTGGCCACTTCTGCACGCTGGCTCACACCTGCTCCGGTGCAAGGTCCCCAGCCCATCCGGCCAAGTCCTCAGGGCAGTGGTGGGTCCCTGCCCACCCAGCTCTTGCTGGAGCCTGAGACACCAGCAGTGGCCCCACAGCTGGCCCAAGGTCCACTCCTCCCACAGGTGTTCCCCACCGGGAGGCACTTGGGTCAGCCTGGGGTGGGTTCTCTTGTTTTGTTTGTCTTTTTGCGATGGTCTTGCAGTGAGCTCAGGCTGGCCTAGAGCTCACTTTGTAGCCCAGGCTAGTTTCTAACATTGATCCTCCTGCCTCAGCCTCCCAAGGGATGGGATTGCAGGCTGCACCACCACACCTGGCTGATTTCCCACTTTTAATTTCCTTTGATTGTAAAGTTTTTGATTCCTAAGAAGGTTTCCATAACCATTTTACTTATGACCTAGTCTCCGTCAAACCTGCCAAGTCATAACAGAACGCGCCGCACCTGCCATTTCCCAGTGCCCGAAGTCCCCTCCACTCTTGCATCTGCCCCTTGTTCACGCCTGCCCAGCAGTCCTGGCTCAGCACCCCATCTTGCAGCTTTTGGAAGAGAAACCACTCAGACCCCAGGCAAGGGCAGGGTGCTTGGGGAGCTGTAGTACCCTGCAGGGCACCACGGGCGCCAGGAATGACAGCCAGGACCCCGAAGCCAAGGTGGAAGCCCTGTGCAGCTTCAGCTGCCCGCTGCCCCCCCCCCAGCCTGCGGTGCCACCTTCAGGGAAGTGTTAGGAGCGTGTGAGGTGAGGTGGGGCCACCCCAGGGAGCTGCGGAGCTGTGGACGGGCCACTGCCTGAGTGTCCCCAGGTGCTGAGGTCCTGTGGTGAGAGCTGCACAGGACGCAGTGAGCGAGGAGGAAAGGGCACATGGACACATCCCATCCGGGCCCTGGGGCCGGAGCTGGGGTGGCCCTCCAAGGCCTTTCACCATCTGTCTCCTGGCACTGCTGGGACGCTGGTGATGGCGGCGTGGGCATGTGGCATTTCCAGCCCTCAAAGCTCAACCCAATGGCCACCCCTGCCTGCCCCTGCTTGAGCTTTTTCCACTGCCAGAGATGCCCTGGCAGAGTCTGTAGATGGAGGGTCCCCGTCATCTTGCCACAGCCTCGGAGGGGTCCATGGCTTCTGGGCTCAGGGCCTTCTGCACAGGGCCAGTCAAACATCAGGGGAGAAGCCAAGTCAGAGCAGCGACCCGCCCCTTGGAGCGCGCTGGGAAGAGCAACGTCTGGAATGGCTGGAGTGGGGCTGGGGCGGCACAAGCCCCAGGGGGCAGTCACTCCTTGCTGATGGCCCTGGAACCCCAGCATCCCCTGAGGGGGCCCTACTGGTTCAGCAGGCTGCAGCCTCGGAGATGCCTGCGCTCACCCTGGGACCTGTGGCTGGTGTAGAGGAAGAGGCCAGTTCTGGCGATGCTGGCCCAGGGTCACCACGGGCTTCCTGGGGCAAGGTGAGTGGGACCCAGGGCTGCAGGGACCATCCCAGGCCTCGGGATGGCAGGGCCCTGACACAGCTGGACTTGTCAAACTGTCGAGGCCACGCCCACAACCAAGGCCTGGGCTGAATGGTTGTGTGCACCTCGAGCCACTGGTGGCCCTGATGCCCATGCTGCAGTCCCTGACCAAATGATCTAGGGACTTGTGCAGGGCAACCCCGGGTCCATCAGGCCTGGTGGCTGCTTGTCCCGTCCCCACCAGGGCTTCCTCCACAGTACCTCTTCCCATGACCAAGAGGACTTCCTGCCCCTCTTACAGGGAGAGGGAAAGGACAGGGCCGGGCATCCTCACAACACAGCATCAAGAGTGCAGCGGGCACTTGTGCCCTCTGCCCAGCTCAGTCGTGCCAGCCTGCCTGTGGATCCCCAAGGGGATCTCACAGCAGACACACCCTCCCACTGAGCGCATGGCCCCTCGTGTGGAGAGGGCCAGCTGAGGGCAAGTGCTTGGAAACACACTGCAGACAGCTCTGCACCTGTGCCGGCTCCCAGCGGCTGCAGGCTGGGCAGCAGTTTCCTCCTTGGGCCTCAGCCAGGCCCAGGGACTCAGCAAAGGGTGGCACGAGTGCCGGCCAAGCCTTTCTCCTGGCACTTGTGGTGGCGTGGGGTCATGTCTGGGCAGAGGTACAGCTGCCCATCTGGCTGCCCTGCATTTGACACTGCAGGGCCCAGTCCAGCTCCCCTGGGCCCTGGGCTATGACCCCCGCCAGACGCACCTGGGCACCTGCCTTAGTCTTCACTTGCCATCCTTGAGGTCTGTGCAGGCACCTGAGTATGAGTGCATTCACTGCGTGCATGCAGAAATGAGCACCCCCACGCTACGTGTCCCTCTGCACCAGCGGCCACTGACAGCCAGGAGTCCCTCGGGTGGGGCGTCCACACGGGCTGGGCAGCGGGAGAGACTGCACAACCCACCCACACAGTGGTACAGTACACACAGACACAGGCAGATCCCTGACAGCAGAGCTGGTCTCAGCCATCTCCCTGCACCTCTGGCCGTGGCCCCAACAGCCGACCATCCCAGGTTCTCCGAAGCCTTTCTGTCCCTTTGTCAGTCCTGCTTCCTGCGGTTCACCTGGGCCCAGGCTTGCGCTATAGGAGACAGGCCTGTCCTGGGTGGCCCTGGTGAAGCTTTTTGTGTTTTTGTTGTGGTAAACTCAAATGGCAGAGAGAGCTAAAAACTCGGGGCAGCGCTCTCTGGTCCCTCGATCCCCGCTTGGTGAGATCCTCCGTTTTCATTTGTGGGGAGGGGAGTAGCACTGGGGGTTGAACCAGGACCTGCACACTGAGCAGCTGCCTCGCGCCTTTTTGTTTTTCCTCTTTGTTTTTGTTTTGTTTTTGAGACAGGGCCTTGCTGTAGTCTAGGCTGGCCTTATCTAGTGATGATCCTGCCTTGGCTTTGTGAGACTAGGGTTCTAGGAACATACTACCATGCTGTTCATTTTCTTTCAGCAAGATCTCACTAAATTGCCCAGACAGGACTCAAGCTTGCCACCCTCCTGCCTCAGCCTCCCTCAGTGCTGGGTTCAGAAGTGTGCACCACCACACCCAGGTAGAACCTGTTTCCTTTAAGTATTTTTAGCGTGGATAAATGGGGATTTATGTGGAGGGAAGAAGTGGGGTGACGCTGGCAACTCGCTTGATCTGAGGCCCCTGCTGGCTCCCAGCTCGACCTGCAGCCAGCATGGGAGCCTGTGCACGTCTAACCTGAGAGCTTAGACCTGCGTGTGCAGCAGGTCGGTTCTTCTCATCCGGGACTCCTTCTCCATCTGCTGGAGCCTGCCACCTGCTCTCCAGTGTACAAGCCCCCAACCCACAGTGCCCCATCCCCTCTGCTGTCCTCCTGGTCCTCAGCAAGTCACCCATGCACAGCGGGAAAGGCTGCCCTGGGACACAGCTGCGGCCTGGCCACGCCCACTGCAGCTCGGCCTCTGGGCCTGGAGGTACCTGGAGCCCATTTCCCATCTTAGCCTTGTAAACGTGTGCTTTTCTGGCCTCCCACTGCCACGGTGTGGAGAACACACAGGTGGGGCCTGGCCCGGAGCGCAACGTCCCTGTGCTTTCCTGGGAGGCTTGATGTGACAGTGCAGGGCCAGCAGGTGCCAGGCCAAGTGGCCCACACTATCCTAGCACCTGTGTGCTTATACAGTGGGCCATGGCCCAGCCAGGATGCCTTCCAGGAGGCGGCCAGCAGGTGCCAGGCCACGTGTCGCGCTTCGCCATGGGCCCTCACCTAGCTCTCGGCATACCAGTGTCTCTGTTACATTTTAGCTCTGTCCAGGGACTGTGTCCACCCACCATGCTTCCACTCTACTCCCTCTCCCTGCAGAGGCACCAGGCCAGGCAGGAGGGGCAACAGGGCCCGGCCCGTCTCCATGTGCCGGGGCCTCAGAGCCAGGCCCTCCTGGGCTCTGGCAGCCTGGCCGGAGCACAAGAAGCCCCAGCACTGGGCAGCTCCAACGCGGCTCCATGGTCCAGCTACCTGAGGTCTGGGGCCTGGGAAGGGGGTGGCCTGGATGGAGCTGGAGAGCACATGGGTGAGCCCCCTCCCTGACCAGCGCTGCCGCCAGCCCTCCCACCCTGCAGCACTACCAGGATGGCCACGGGAACCCTGGCTGCCACAGCTACAGTGCCAGTGCCGGGATGTGACCTGTCCCTGCCACACCTGTGGAGTGCATCTTCACACAGGTGACTGGTCCAGGCCAGGGGTGGCTTCCGGAAAGAGCCCCTGCCCCTGCCCAGTAGTCAGGCAAGAGGACAGAGCTGGCCACCTCCCCTGCCTGCCTACATTGGCGTCCCTGGAGCCACACTGCCACCTGCTGCTGCCGATTGGGGTGGCAGGAGCCACTAGCCAAGCACCTCGGGCTGCAGAGAGAATCTGGTGGGCCACTTGTATTGGCATCTTTGCTCCACTGTGCCAAGCTGGGGCATACAGGAAACCAGGTGGGCTGAGGGCATGAGCTGGGCCACTTCCAGCTAGGTCCCCTGACCCCATGGGGAGGGTAGGCATGGCTGGGGTCTGGGCTTCCTGCAGGAGGACACCGCCCAGCAGTCAGAAGCTTGACGCTCAGCAAGTCTGGAAAGTGGCTGTGACACCAGGCCCTCTGCCCCTGCTTATACGACCAGGGCTGACTGCTGGCTCTGGTCCAGGTACCCAGGGCTGCAGAGGCCTTCCAAAAGCTAGCAGCCCCCCACTGGCAGCCTCTGCGCTGCTGTTTATGTCCTTTTGTGTGCCTGTGTATAATTTTGAATGCCCAAGACTTTCAAAAGAGACTTGGCAGATGATGGTTCTTTTGTGTCTGCAGGGGGTGTCCCGGACTCACAACGAAGGCAGCGTACCCCACCCCATAGACGCACATGGGGGGGTCTCCTGCACTGCTCCCCATGGCCACTAGAGGGCGGGCAGTGATCTGGATTCCAGAGCCAAGTGTCCAAAGCAGACGTGGTAGCCTCCAGCCCTATCCTGTCTCTGCCTTGGTATTTAGGGGTTAGTGTTTAGGGGGTGGGAAGCCCCTCCAAAGGATCCCGCAATCTCTGCAGGCCACAGTGGCCAGGCCCCGGCATTAGGGCACTCAGCCTTCCTGCGGACCTCCAGCCCAGGTCTAGGGCCCTCGTGCTCTTCCTACACCTGCACCCGAGCCCGAGGAGCTGGCTCAGCCAGCCTGCTCCCCATCCCAAGGGCCCACTGCACAGCCGCATCTCTGCATCGGAGCATCTGGGCCTGTCAGGGCTGTGCTGTCCTGACATCTTGCTGATGAGAAACCTTGTGAGGACGAAACACCTGGCCTGTGTGCGTGCCATTTACCTTGACTGTAAATACACTCTGACCTCTGATGCCCCTGCACCATTTGCAGCGGGGCAGCCTCTGCTCTGCTGAAAGCCAAGCCCCTGTCCCTGCAGCCCCTGAGGGCTGGAACTTCTGTAGCACCAAGCACAGGACTGGGGGGGATGCCTCATGTGCACCCCTTACACAAGCCTTCAGCCACCCCACTGTATCCCGTGTGACCCTGGTTGTGGACCAAGAAGCACAGGAAGTGGGGCCACCCTGGGAAGACAGTTGGGGGAGGCCCTGAACTTCACCAGGGCTTCGGACCCTGGGTGCCCCAGGCAGCGTGGGAAGGCTGAGTCAGCGGGGAGATCTGATCAGGGCCACTGTGACCTGGGTGGAGGGAGGCCCGCCATGCCCATCAGTGCCACATATCCAGCCCCACACCTTGTATACAGACCATGCACCCCACTGATGTCCCAAACAGGGCATCAGGGAACTAGAGGAGTGGGGTGGGCAAATTCCAGAATGTTGGGGTCTGTGGAGTTGAGAGGGAGGTTTGGCAGCCTAACATGGGGGTGGGAACCAGGGCTTGGGGTGTGCTTGTAAGGCTACACATCCCACAAGAATGAGGAGTATTCACATGCAGGTGACGGCTCCACTGCCGGATGTGGCCATTGGACAGGGCCTCGCTCAGCTCCCAGACCAGCGCCTTCCTACCCCAGAAAGGAGGTTAGTCCTCAGGCCCTCTTGCTGCAGGGACACCACGACACTGCCCCTGCACTAGTGGAGGGGAAACCTGACACCAGCAAAGGCCAGCACCCCAGTATTCCCCCACCCCAGCCTCAGAAGCAGTGGCCTCCAAGGGGCTCACCCTATGTCCTCTCCCATGTGGGTGACCAGGTGCCAGGGCGAGGACCCCTTCCCAGCCCAAAGCAGCCAGCCACCCTCCAAGCAGGCCAGGGCACAGCAAGCTGGCTGCAGCAGGGATGCTGTGGCTCCCAGGATAGAGGAAGGGGTCCTGACGGGGCCGGCAGCCCCAGCTCCCACACCGTTGCCTGAGAAATCTTAGGCACAACTTCTGCATGGGGCCTTCCAGGTCCAGGCTTAGGCACCCCCAAGCTCCCCATGCAGAGGACAGCAAGTGTGATCTGGAACCATGCCACCGCCAGGTCCAACAGGAGGCTGGAGGGAAGGAAGGGCCGGGAGGAGCCCTGGAGCAGGAGGGGAGGCTTGAGTGCGGTAGTGTAGGTACCAGCAGGAGGAGGCCATTGCAGCCAGCCGGGGGGTGGGGGGGAGACAGCTAAGGGGTCACTGACAGAAGGTACTGGGCAGTGAGGCTGAGCAGCCCCAGGTGTCAGGTGAGCAGGTGAACAGTCACCCAGGTTCTTTTGGGAGCTGCCAGGGAGGGGATGTGGAAGAAACCTTGCCCAGGACCCCAGGAGCAACACAGGGTCTCCCGGGCACCCACCTTGGCCTCACTGGCCTCATCCCTCTGCCCACAAGTCCCAGGGCATCCAGGTCTGAGGGTCTCTACTCTGCGCTGGAGTCAGCCTGTCCCCTGGGACGACGTGGAAGAGGCACCAAGAGACGGAGGAGCCCAGGACCCTACCGTAGGCGCATCATTTCTCTCATCATCCTGGACACAGGAAACCTCCCACCAGCAGCGCTGGGCTCCTGCTGCCGGTGTCTTCTGGGCCACACATTCCGGGGGGCACAGGGGACCCCGAGTCCTGTGACTACCGCAAGGGAGGACAGCATGAGGTGCCCGCCACGCGGGAAGCCAGGCAGGAGAGCTGGGGCGGGGGAGCGCAGAGTGAGCCAAGCCATGAGGGAGGTAAGCCCAACATTTGATGAAACCCCACAGGAGTGCCTCCCTTTAACCGTGCCTGAGCCTGGACGTCTACCCGGAATGAGCGCCCGAGTCACCCTGATGGCCCACTCCGTTGCTTTGCGTCTACTCAAGGGTCACTCCTACCCCTATCCCTAACCGCACTCCAAAGGCACGACCCTACAGGTGCAGGGGAGGGACCAGCCCTGACTCCGCGCCGCTCCTCCCTCCGCTCCTTTCCCACAGCTTTCACCCGTTCCCCTCCGCTCCCGGCCGCTTCCTCCTCCCCTCTCTCTGCCCTGCCCTTCCCCTCCCGGTCCCTTTCCTCTGTCCTTGGCTCCCTCGGATCCTGCAGGCCAACACAACCAGCGGACCTCTCTGAACGGAGCGACTGTCGCTTAGCGCTCGGCCCCGCCCCGGGCCCGCCCCGCCCCGCCCGCCCGCCGCACACGTGCTGCCTCCGGCCAGCACACTTGCGCTGTCACTCAGCCGCCCGCCGCTCCGGTCCCGAGCGGGTAGTGCCCGCCGACACTCGCCCGCTGGCCCGCTGGCCCGCATGGACGCCGCGCTGCTCCTCGCCCTCGGGCTGCTGACGCAGGTAAGGGTCGGCCCCGTGGGGTCCCCGGCCGTGGGAGGACTTCCCAGGACCCTGGCCCTCAGCCCTGTCCGCCTGGGTGCAGCTCCCGCTCCGGGTGCTGTTCCCAGGCATGCGGAGCAGTGGCAGCAGACTCTCGGGCCTCCGATGGGGTCAGCGAAGGAGCCGGCCTGGGGTGGCCAGGTTGAGGGGCCCGGGAGAGCAGGGCAGAGACCTTCCACCCTTCCGAATGGGGGGCCAGGGGAGGACCGGTGGGCAGCAAGAGGCTCATGGAGTGTCTGGGGACTCCAGACCCAAGTTGGAAGCTGCGCTTTTGTCACCTGTGTGTACTGTCCCTACCCCTCCCCACCATCCCGGCTGGCAGGGAAGCTGTGGGCTTCGCCCTCCAGGAACTGGAATTCTGGGTCCCAGCACACACCTGGTCACAGATCACAGCCTACCTGTGGCTGTGGTGCCTTTTGTCCATCTACAGAGCCCCCGCCACTGTCCAGGCGAGCCTGCAAATGCCCACGTTGGTCTCACCCTGGCACAAGAGCCCAGACTCTTTGGCATTGGCTGGTCAGTCTGTAGCTAAGCTCTGCCGGGGTTCACTTGCTCACCCCGCTGCTCAGTGGCTCCCCCAGCTCTGGGTTGTGCACGGTGGAAGACAGGCTTGTTCCGTCCCGACTCGACTCCTATCAGGGGTTTCTGAGGCCCTGGGAGCCCACACACTGCAGCTCCAAGGCCAGCTCAGGTTTCACCCCCTGGCAGCTGAGCCAGCCCTGAACAGCTAGACCCTCCAGCAGCTGCCCGGCTGGCAACGTCCCCTGCCTTCAGGCCCTCACCCCTCATGGGCACAGCAGCCCAGCCTGGCTGCCCCAGCCCTGCCCCCAGCATGCTCTGCGACACCTGGCCCCTCCCTGAGGTCCACTGGTGCAGGATGCTTGTTCTGGTACCTGCTCCCCGGGCAGTGTAGGGGCAGCATCTCACCAGCTCCCAAGACAAGCCACTTGTTCACACACCCCTGGGGATCCTGCTGCTTTGGGCTTGGGGGTTCAGGGTATCTGCCTTTCAGCAGGCTCTGTTCCGCTGCTGGGGTGGGGGGAGGGTCCTCCTCAACCTGCTCCCTCCAGGTTCCCTTCGCTGGGCAGCTGGAGAGCCAGGGTCAGCTGCCACATGGGCTCACATTAGCTCCAGGCTGCACAGTGGCCTGTAAGCCCAGCCCACTCTTGCACACCAGCTCCATCTTCAGACCCTTGTCTGGTCAGGTCACTTCTTCCACACCTCTGACAGTCCAAGGTGGGCTGGGGGCTGTAAGAGACTCTGCAGGATGTGCCTGCCCTGCGCCTTCTGTCAGGACTTGGATGCTCCGGGCCAGGGTCTGGACTGTGTGCCCAGAGCTGCCCGTCAGCCCTCCTATGCACCGACTGCGTCCCTGCTTGCTGGCCCTACCCCTGGGACCCATCATGGGGGAGAGGTGATGCAGGCTCAGGGATGGCTCCATGAGGCCCTTCCTGCTGGTAAGGGCCCCTCAGGAGGGTGTCCTTAGCCCCTGTGACAGTGACTATGCTGGGGGGAGGGTTCTGGGACAGTGTGCAGATGGGAAGGAACAGCTGTGCCCCGTTCCCCTCTTCCGAGGCCCTGGGCAGCTGGAGAGGGCAGGGCCCTGGGGCCAGCCTGACAGCTGGTCCATTCCTGGCATGCTGGCCTGCCAGGAACAGGGGCCCTGAATTCTTGCCTGTAGAAGGTGGGGAGCCTGGGAAGCCTGCAGGGAGTGGGGGGTGGAGGCTTCCTGTCCCCATACCAAGAGGACCCTGACCATGCTCCTGCCAAAATGCAGGAGCCCTTTCTTTCAGCGTCAGCCCTAGAACCACTTCCCTGTGCTATGGCATTAGTATGGATGGCCTCCTGTGCCAGGATCCCCCTTCTCTGTCCAGTAAGGATGTGGACCCAGGAAGGGCCTGAGTACCAGTAAACACCTGGCCAGGCCTGGCAGCCTCTCAGGACTGCTTGCAACAGTCCAGTCTAGGCCTTGTAGGTACCCCGAGAGGCCACCAGTTCTATCTCCAGTGCTGAGAGGAAGGGGACATCCGCAGTCTACCTCCTTGGCAGGCAACCCGTTGGCCAGGCCCGATGGTCCTCTCACCTCAGTGCTAGCAAGGTACTGGCCTAGCTGGCCACACTTTGTCCTGCCAGCTCTGGGCAGGTGCGGGGGAGGTGACCTGGAAGCTTGGTCTGGGGCAGTGGCCCTGGCCATCCTTAGGTTATCCAGATGGTTCTGAGGGTCATGGGCTAATGGTGGACCAGGGTGAACCTGGGCCCCAGGCCCCTCCTCCAGGAAGGGGTGTAGGCAGGAATCCGAGAGCAAGGTATCTTCCATCCCTGCGCCTATGCAGGGATGTGCCCGTGGCCATCCTTATGGCTTTGTCTGAGACTCCCAATGTTCTCAGCCCCCAGGACAGGACAGGCCCTGCCTCTGGAAAGGGGTGGGACAGGGAAGAAAGCGCACCACACAAATACTTCTGAGATCCAGGAGTGGGCCCAGTGCCCTTCCTGCCTACCGTAGCTGCTGCACGAGGGGCATGTGACCATGACCATGGGCCCCAGATGTGTCCTGAGTTTGGCTCCATTGGACCTGAAGGTGAAAGGGGCCAGGATGATGGGTCAGTGTCCTAAGCCCTAGGGGTGTCATGTCTGCCTGGGAGCCTCTGCATGAACAGCTTGGCCTTTCTGAACCCCTTAAAACGGTGAGATGAGCTGTGTACCCTGCCTCCCAGGCCGTGAGGACGGCAGAGAGGGTGCTTGTCCAGGCTGCATGGAGCTGGCCAGCAAGGTTTAGGCCAGAGTGGTCCTCTCAAGGCTGTGACCAGGATCCCTGCAGTGTGGGCAGCTTGGTGCATGGCAGGAGCCTGCCCCAACCTGGAAGCAGCTTGTGCCTGCCTGGCTCTGGCCGGTGTGGGGGCAGTGCGACCATCTGTCAGCCAGCAGCATGCAGCCCCTTGCCGAGGGCCTGGCCGTCTCCCCTCCTGCTTGTGCACTGGGTTGGCAGGGCAGTGGGAAGGAGGAGCCTGGGATCGGCAGCACTGGTGCTGCCCTGGCCTGGATGCTGCTGTGGGGTGCATCCTGCTGGCGAGGCTCACAGGCCTACATGTGTCATCCAGGACTGGAGGCAGAGGGGCCAGGTGGCCAGAGAAGAGCAGCTGTGGCCTCCGGATCTATGACCAGGAAGGGGAAACGGGTGTGCCCAAGGTCTTGGGTCCAGCCCTGGAGAAAGCCATGGTGTGGGAAGAGGCTGCCTTCCTCTGCCCATCCCATCTCGGGCTGACAGGCCCCTGGTCAGCCTGCTCTGTGCTCCTGGAGGTGCCTAGTACTAGCCAGTGCCCTTGATAAGCCAAGCGTCAGGCAGCATGGGCTGGCATTCCTACAAGGTAGCACTGAGACATCAGCAGGTCCCCGTGGCAAGGGTAGTTCTAGACACTAGGCCCGCTAGATGTGGGCCTGGGTCCCTCAGGATCCCACACATGCTGGGCCTCCTCAACAGAGCAGGCATTGCCCTGGCCATCTATGCCCACCAAGTGCTGGCAAGCCGTGTGGAGACCCCAGGCAGCCAAGGCCACCTCTGCCCCAACCCCAGCTTCCGGTGGCAGAGCCAGTCTGGAGGAGGGGACCCCACCATCCAGCTGCCTCCACTCTTCACTGGCAGGGCAGCACCCCAGGGCATGGGCCCCAGTCCCACACACCAGAGAATAAGAGGTGCCTCGAGCCTCAGGAGCCCCCTTCCAGGCCCACAGGCACCCGGACCCTTGGGAAGTGAGGAGACAGAATTTTCTTATTCCCTCCCCACCAGCCAGTGGCAAATGCTCGGCAGTGGGGACCCTGGGGGTGCAGGCCATGACCCAGAAGGTCCCAGTTGAGGAAGCCCACAGAAGGCTCCAGGGGATGTGGTGGCCTCAAGCTCGCATGTGCCGCCTGTGCCCAAGGCAGCGGCCCCCCCAGCGGTTGACCTCGCTGCCTGATGGTGGCCCCTGTGTCGCAGGGCCTTGATCTGTGCTGGGGGTACCCTGGGCTGCCCAGCACCCTGTACCCCTGGCGCCGGCCACCCACACTGGGCCGAGTACGGAGAGCCTGGGTCATCCCGCCCATCAGCGTGCCAGAGAACTACAAGGGGCTGCCCTACATGTTGGTGCAGGTGAGCAGGTGGGCCTTCCGGGAAGGGGCTCACTGCTGGTGCAGATCCCAGCCCGCCCTCCCGGGGCTGATGGGGCTTGGGGGCTTCCTCAGGCGTCATGCAGGCGGGAGGGCCCTCCCACTCGGCGTCCTCAACCCCTGCTGCCCACAGATCAGGTCGGACAAGCGACAGCCAGGCGGGGTCCTCTACAGCATCCAGGGCCCTGGTGTGGATGAGGAGCCACTTGGCCTCTTCTCTGTGGAGAAGTTCTCGGGGAGGGTGTTCCTCAACGCGGAGCTGGACCGGGAGAAGATGGCCTCCTACAGGGTGGGCACCACCCACCTGACCATACCCCACCCACCATACCCTACCTGACCATATCCCACCCCACCATCCCCCACCCACCCCACCATCCTCCCACACCCCCACCAGCTGCCAAAACCCTCCGCACCCAGCCAGCACAGGTCAGACAAGCCCACCCACCATCCCCCACCCCACCATCCCCACCTCTCTGAGGCCCATCTGGGGCCCGTGGAGGGCCTTAAGGCTGGGACTACCACCCTGCTCCGCCTTCAGGATCCAGTGCTGTGTGGATCCTGCTTGCGCCTTCCTGAGTCAGCCTCTTCAAGGGAGCTCTGAGGCTCCTTTTATCCACCCTATGTCTCGCTCCACAGTCTAAGAACCAGCTCAGGGTCCTTATGCAGGAGTCCTGAGCACTTTACCCGGAAATAACACAGTCCCTGGAAGCAACACTGTGGTGTTCACCCAGGATAAGCAAATTAAAATTCCAAATGCACTTAGGAATTAAAACACACTTCAAAAGAAGCCCAAAGCCCAAGCCTCACAGAGCAAGGATGGAGACTGGGCTCCAGGGAGGGCCCCACCAGCCCTGCTGTCTGCCCACACAGCTCAAGGTCTTTGCCCTGGACCTGGGAGGAGCCATCCTGGAAGAGCCCACGGACCTGGAGGTCCTGGTGGTAGACCAGAATGACAACCGGCCGGCCTTCGTGCAGGAGGTGTTTGTTGGCCGGGTACTGGAGGGTGCAGCCCCAGGTGAGCCCCAGGCGGAGGACTCTGGCCCCACTTGTCCACACCCCGCCCCACCATACCCACCCCCCCACCTGACCATGCTCCACCCCACCTGACCATACCCCACCCACCATACCCCACCCCACCATACCTTGCACCGGCCCTGCCCCGGCATCCCCTCCAAGGCCTGGACTGGGCAGAGCCCCACACAAGGGGTCTCAGCACCTCCAGAACACAGAGACGCTAGGTGGCAGAGCTGCGGTTCCTCTTCCTCGCCCCCTTGGGGTTATGCTCGTTTGACATAAAGCTCGTCATTTAAACCAGGCATCGTGGCACGTGCCTGCCAATCTCAGTGCCCTAGGAGGCTGAGGTAGGGCGATCACACACTTGAGCCCCGCTTGGGCAGCTTAGCAAGGACCTCCCAAAACGGGGGAGGTGGCTTAGGGCCAAGACCCTGGGCTCAGTCCTAGCACCAGAAAAAGAAAGGTTGACCATTAGTGGGCGCTGTCTCCGCAGCGGAGGAGCAGTGTGAGGTGGCCCGCCCGTCCTGCTGGGACCCTGGGCTGGAGCCGCGCCCCTCTGTCCCATTCCCGCCTGCTCAGCCCCCGAGAGCCCTTCAGAAAGTGGAGAGCCGGGTGAGCGGCTGGGCCCTGGCCACTCTTCCCGGAAGGTCTGTTCTGTCTCATCCCTTCTGGTATTCAAAGCAATGATACCATTTTTACTTTTAGCTTTTTCACTCTGACATAATTTCAAACTTACAGCAAAGTTGCAGAGAAGTCCCGGGCGTGCTTCGAGCCGTCTGTGCACTCCTGCTGACCTTCTCTTCTGCCTCCTGCTCACTCAGCGGGACTCTGCCGCTGAGTTGAGGACTTTAATGTTCACACAAGACTAACCCTCATTAACCCTGACGCAGTTTCGATTCCCAGAATAACGATTTTGGTCACAAAGCAACTCCTGGTCATGTGTTTTGTGGGTGGTGGGTTTTTTGTTTTCTTTTCTGAGACAGGGCCTCACTGTGTAGTCCAAGCTGCCTCCAACTCATGGCAATCCGCCACCCTCAGCCTCCTGAGTGCTGGGACCACAGGTGTGTGCTCCACCACGCTCAGCAAGTGGTAGTGTTTTTTACCCTCTCATAACTGGCTCCTTTCCTCCCTCCCTTCTTCCCTCCCTCCTTCCCTCCTCCTCCTCCTCCTCCTCCTCCTCCTCCTCC